TTTTTGAAAAGATGAAAAATGTTCTGGTGGAGATGCCCTGGCTGGGATAGCAGGTTCTTCCCAAAAACACTCTGCTCCGAGGCAGAGCCGTGGCTTCCTCCTTGTTTAACTCTGAACCATCTCCAGAGGCATCTTGAGGGAGAGGGAATGGGAAGAAAACCCCTTTCTCTGGGAAATGGCCTTAAAATCCCAGAGATGCCCATGGGAGGAGCTGGGCAGCAGCTCCTGGGATCCCTCTGGGCTGCTTTCCTTGGCGGAGCAGGTCCGGTGTGACGGTAACCTGAGCGCTGGAACAGATTGCAGGAATGTCACCAGCTGTGAACACACGAGCTCCTCTTTCCCTCCCTGACCCCTTTCTGGAGGAGACGGAGTTTGAAAGCAGAGGTTTTTTCTTTCCAGTTTCTCAAAAGCCTGAAATCCTCCTTTATTTCCCCGTGTTGCCCTCGGAAGATGGGTCAAAGCCGAGCTTTTGGGACTTGAAGGCCCTTTGCCAGCCCTGAGCAGTTCCATGTAAATACACTGAACTTCCTCCCGAGGTGAGGGGGGCTGGAGGAAAGGCAGGATTGCTCCATCCCAGGAGGGAGAGAGCACCCTGGGCTCCGGCTCCCCCAGCTCTGCTTCCCAGCGTGCCCAAGGTCAGCCGGGATAAACACGGGGGAGGAGTTTCCTGGTTTTAGAAAGAGGGATTTGGCTTTTCTCTGATAAAACACAAGAGAAAACCACTCTGAGCAGCAGCAGCAGCTTGTTCCCAAGCAGGACTGGCCCATGTCTGGATGTACCTGGGAATAAACCATTTTGCTTTTGCCAAAGGCTGAGCTCAGGTGTGAGTTTAACTTCGGAGGGAAGACAAGCTCCAGTTCCCCTGAACTTGTGTTTCTTGTCACAGTTCCCCCTGCACCCTCCAGAATCACTTTCCTGCTGCTATTTTGGGCTTTCCCAAACAACCAGAATTGGTTTATCCCACCCTCCTGGGCAGCAGGTGAGCTGGGACCACGATGCTCCCCATGATGGCACCTGCTGGTTTTCCTCCTTGGCTCGCAGGGGTTCCTTGCTGGGGTCCTGCAGGAAAACAGAAGCTGAAAGACCCTCTTGTTCCTCCACACCTACCCCATACCTCCACCCCCATATTTACGGGTTTGTTTTCCCTTCTGGCCCCTTTAACTTGTGTTTATTTTTCCCCTCGGCTGAGTTGGTGGGAAGGTGCCTCAAAGCAGCTCTGTTCTCTCCCAGCGAGCCGTTTTTCCAGCGAAATTCCATGGAAGGGCTTCTCTCTGTCCTTGTTTGCAGGCCGGGTTCCTGCCCAGCGAGATGGGAATCGCCAGCCCGAGCACACTTTCCCCCACGGGGGGCAAAGGAGGGTCCCAGTATTTCTCTTACCCCAACAATCCTCGCAGGAGAGGTGCTGAGAGCAGCATTGGTGAGTCCCCACGTGCCACCCCCGGGTGCCACCGCGCTGGTTTGGTGCCACAGCTCGAGGGAACCTCAGGGATGTCCCCCTGAGGGCAGGTGCCCTCGTGGGATCTGCCTTTGGGAATGAGGAACTGAGGCTGGGAATGAGAACAGGGGTGTTGAGGATGACAAACTCACGTTGCCACGTGTGTGTACCTGGCGTGACTTTGGCATTTGGTTTTTTGGGGGGAAGGGGAATGCATAGAAATATCTCTGTATATCTGTATAGAGATGTCTAACTTTAAAAAAATGAAGGGCTCAGAGCCAGGAAGAATTCCCTTCTCCCTGGAAAATGTCAGGTTAGCTGAAAGCAGCAAATGGCTCGAGGTTCTTCTCAGAACACCTCCAGCCACACTGCATATCACTAGTCATTCCTGGAAAACCTTGGAGTGCCTTGGCATTCTGTTTTTCTGGCCAGTGGCCCTCCCTGGAGCCCAGGAAGGGGGTAGCATGAGGTCCAGACATTCTGCCAGGACATGGGAACTGCACCCTGGGACACAGGGAATGTTCACTCTCTCCCTGCCTGCTCCACAGTTCCCAAGCAGGACTGGCCCATGTCTGGATGTACCTGGGAATAAACCATTTTGCTTTTAGCAAAGGCTGAGCTCAGGTGTGGGTTTAACCTTGGAGGGAGGACAAGCTCCAGTTCCCCAGAAGTTGTGTTTCTTGTCACAGTTCCCCCTGCACCCTCCAGAATCACTTTCCTGCTGCTCTTTTGGGCTTTCCCCAACAAACGAAACCAGAAGTGACTCTGTGTGATGTGCTTTTCAGAAAAAGGCAGTCCCCACCCATTTTCAGCCTGGAAAATGATTCTTCTGTGTTCTATGGGATGAATTTCTCCTCCAGAGAAACATCCCAGCAGAGTCCCTCGCTGTGTTAGCACCCTGCCCCCCCCCAGCCACAGCCTTCCTTAATTATGACAAATAATGACCTTAATTATGAAAAATAATAAATAATAATGATGAGAAATAATAATATTAAAAGGAGAAATTAAGAAAATATCAAATTAAAATATCAGAAGCACTGGTTGTGCTTCCCCTTGAGCCACTCCTGATGTTTCCCCACCACCTCCCTGAATTGTCCCCCCCCACAGGACACTGTCCCTCCAGAACTGAACCTGGAGGGATGTGCTGGGGGCTGATCCTGGGAAGGACATCCCTGCTTCCTGCAGCAGTGAAGCTTTCCCAAGTATATCCTTATGTAAAGAGAAATGAAAATACACCCCTGCCCTGCACGTGTTCCCTTTCTCCACAGACCCACTTCAAGTTAAATTGTTTCCCAAGAAAACCCCAACGAGGGTTTATAACATTAAATATTATTATATTTATGGGCTCGTTCTCTCCCAAGGAGCCCTTCCCCGTGGGGTGACACCTCTTACTGCCCTGGGATCTCTGTCTGTGGGTGAAACCTGCCCCCAAAAGGTGCAGATGAGGTTTGGAGAGGTTCATCCTCGGACATTTTCACCGTTGATGCTTCCTTGGCTGTGGAACATTTGGGATCTGAGCCCTGTCTGTACCTGCAGCTTCCAACCCTGGAGACTTTTGCTGTAGCTGCTTTTTCCCTCCCACTAAGCCCCTTCAAAACTTAGACCCTCTCTTCTCTCCCCTAACCCAGATGGACAGCCCAAAAAGGTTCGGAAGGTGCCTCCTGGACTCCCCTCCTCGGTAAGTGCCGGCAGCGTGTTCCCCGCAGGTGTCTCCTCCCTCCCTTGGGAATCATCCCGATCCTGGGAGCTGCCCGGGTCCTGTGACCCCAAACATCGAGGGGTTGGATTTTAGCGGGACGGGGAAGGGTTTTCCCAGCTCCCAGAGCAGGAGAACGGGGAAGTGATGCGAGGGAGAGCTCCTTGGGGAAGGGGCCGCAGCATTCCCGGCGCGGGGGCACCTCCCCAGCGAGCCCTGAGCCCTCCTGCCCTGCGGCCTCTGCTCTGTTTGACGTTGTGTCGCGAGTGAAAGGCGATCCTCGAGGGGTCGGGTTTCACTGCAGAAGGGAAACCAGCGCAGTTGGAGCGGGGAGGGCAGCTGGGCCCGCTCCAGGTGTGCACTGCCCGGGCCGCGCTCCGGGAAAGCTGAGCAGCCTGCAGGAATACGGGAATACGGGAATACGCTCTCCCTGCTCCCGCGGCTGTTCCAGGGGAATACACTGAACAATGTCTTTGTGGCTGCAAGTAATGGGATCTCCAGGAAAGCTAATTGGAGTGGGCTGGAGGGTTCCTGCAGGAATACGGGAGCTGTCTGGCGGCCGAGGCTGCATTCCTGGCTGGAGCGTTTGCGTGCTTGGAGGGGGACGGGATGGCTCTGTCCCCAGGGCTCTGTCCCCAGGGCGCTATCCCATGGGTTCTGTCCCCAGGCTCTGTCCCCAGGGCACTGTCCCATGGGCTCTGTCCCCAGGGCTCTGTCCCCAGGGTACTGTCCCATGGGCTCTGTCCCCAGGCTCTGTCCCCAGGCTCTGTCCCCAGGGCTCTGTCCTCAGGGCTCTGTCCCAGGGCTCTGTCCCAGGGCTCTGTCCCCAGGCTGGGGCTGTGCCCTTGCCCAAGTGTGTCCTGTCACTCTCTGCCAAAGCTGGTGCTGGTGCAGTGCTCCCCCATTCCCCAGGGAACACCCCCATCCATGGGGGAGGTCTGTGCAGTTGCATTCCCTGGCTGCTGGCGCAGAGCTGTAACCTCCACCACAGGCTCTGCCTTTGGAATTGCACCCTGAGATGCTGGTTTGGGAGGATGGAGGGGGAGGAAGGCGCTGAGGGCTTGCCAGGTCTGGGCTCACAGTCTGGGGGGTGTTGAAGGGTCCGTGTGGATCCACATGGTGCAGAAACCAGCTCCAGTGAGCAGGGCCAAGTTGCCCCAGGTCTGTGTTTTACCAGGGAAAACCTGCTCAGAGCAGAGTCCGTGTCGCTGCCTCGAGTTTCTGTGTGAAATGTGGAGCTTTTAAAGCCCAGACGACATGTGGGGAAAACATCACTCCCAACAAATGGCCTTTATTGGCCTCGGATTTCAAAGTGCTGAGACTGGACCCGTCCTGCTGGCAGTGCCCGGGAGGCCCCGATTCCCACAGGAAAAGCCACTCGGCATTTGCCAGATCCCAACCTCTTCCCTGTGTCTGAGCCAACACCTTCACGGTGGCCTTTCATAGGATGGTTTGGGTTGGAAGGGACCTTAAAGCTCATCCAGTGCCACCCCTGCCATGGGCAGGGAACCTTCCACCAGCCCAGGTTGCTCCAAGACCTGTCCAAGCTGGCCTTGGACATTTCCAGGGATGGGGCAGCCACAGCTGCTCTGGGAAATCTTTGCCAGGGCCTCCCCACCCGTGAGGGTGAATTTCCTCCTCACGTCTCCCCTAAATCTCCCTCCTTGCCCTGGCTGGCACCTCGGCTGCCCCTTGATGCCAAAGCTCTGATTTGTGGTGCTGCCTCTTTCCCTCACCCTCCCTGTGCCGTGAGCTCTGGCTTCCTGGTTTGTTTTTGAACTTCCACACCTGGGGAGAGAAACCCGTGCCCAGGCGGCGGGAGAAGTGTGAAGCAGAAGGAGTGGCCTCAAAGGCAGCGGATCAAAGGCTCTTTCTTGTCTGACTCGCCCGTGCAGGAGCCCGCCCCGTGTTATCACTGGACCCCGTGCAAAATAAATAGGTTAATCAGCATCTTATTAAAATGAAGTACTTTAATCTGTAATTCCCGAGCTGCTTTGAAAACTCGCCGAGGTCAGCGGCTGGAAGGGCTGGGGGTGGCTGGAGGGGGAGTGATGATGCCAAAGGCACCGAGAGGCACCAGCAGCGTGAGGTGGTTCAGGGGGAATGTGAGGGGTGATGCCAGGCAGGGGTGGGCACAGAGAGACCTGTTCTGGTAACCTGCAGCCTTTGGGCTCAGTGCTCACATCCCGAGGAGGCCACAGAGATGCTCCAAGGGCTGGAGCCCCTCTGCTCTGGAGCCAGGCTGGGGGAGCTGGGGGGGTTCACCTGGAGAAGAGAAGGCTCCAGGGAGAGCTGAGAGCCCCTTGCTGAGCCCTGGGCCTAAAGGGGCTCCAGGAGAGCTGGAGAGGGACTGGGGACAAGGGATGGAGGGACAGGACAGGGGGAATGGCTTCTCAGTGCCAGAGGGCAGGGTGAGATGGGAGACTGGGAAGAAATTCCTCCCTGTGAGGGTGTTGAGGCCCTGGCACAGGTTGCCCAGAGCAGCTGTGGCTGCCCTGGAAGTGTTCAAGGCCAGGTTGGATCAAAGCAGCAACCTGGGCTAGTGGAAGGTGTCCCTGCCCATGGCAGGGAGTGGAATGAGATGAGCTTTAAGGTCCCTTCCAGCCCAAACCATTCCATGATTCCAGGCAATAGGTTGCCCTCAGGGCACGAAGCCCCTTGGAGCCTCCCTGCAGCTCTGGAGCTCCTGACCACAGGCTGGTGTGTCCAGGCACAGGACCCAGGGCTGGATGGGGCCCCCCAGGCCCTGCTGCACATCAGCTGCTGAGCCACAGGAACCCGGGGAGGGATTTTGTGCAAGTCGGTTCCTGCAGGATTTTGTTGCCGCAGCGAGCGCGGTGCCGGGGAGCTGCTTCAGCCTGCGAGTTCCCAGTCTGGTCACTGCTCTGTTTAGCCTCAGTCTGCCCGAAGTCCCACCCCAGCTCCTGCGTTTGAGCAAGAAAAACAGGGAGGGGAAAACAACCCAACGCCACAAAGCGCTGCGGATCCCAGCGCCGGGGCTTTTCAGGCGGCTCTCGCCGCGCTGGCAATTTTAACCGGAGGAAATGACCTCACCTGGAGGTCCCCGACTAGGGGCTGAAAGGGCACGGCTGGGGAAGGGCTGGGGAACGGGGACCTGGCCCTGATTTACTGTTTCCTGCAGCGCTTGGCCGCCGTGCCCGCACGGAGGGGCTCAGTGCTCCTCACTGGGCTGGGGCAGCAAGGGATGGAGTCGGCTTTTCACGGCCTCCCCTGTGCCCAGCAGCGGAACAAAACATTTGGAGTGGTCAGGGCCAGAACTGTGGTGAAATCTGGCTCCAACAGGAGATGATGGGGGCGGGGGGTGTCCAGGACGGGGGAGCAACAAGGCGAACTCCCCCTCTGCTCTGCCCGTGCCCCGCTCTGCCTCCCCCCTGCTTTGCACCCCCTTGCCGCTCCATCCCCGCGCTTCTGCTCTCCCGGTTTCCAGCGGGGCTGTAGGAAATGGCTGTTGGGCCCCCCCGCGCTGCTCGCAGCAGCTGCCTTCTAGCGCGCTGCGCGGCCGCCCAGCGCCGTGCCAGATGGCGCGGCGGCCTCTTTAGGCCTTGCCTTCCCTCGGCTCCCCCCGGCCTAAGCTCCCGGCGCCATTTTAAAATCAAATTATAGGAAAGCGCAATTTGCTGGGGTGTTCTCCTTCCCCCCCTCACACACACACACCCCCCCTTCCCGCCGCTCTGCTTCCCCCACTGCCCGCCCCGTGGCTGTTTTTTTTTTTCCCCGTTGCCCCCGGCGCTCGCCCGTCCGCCGCCCCTCCCAGCCGAGGGGCCTGGAATTCTCTTTTTCGAGCAGGGGATGAAGGGCAGCTGCCAGTGTCTGTCAGGATTTTCCCTCCCCCCTCTCTTTATTTCTTTTTTTTTTTGGCCTTTAGTTCCCCACAGAACCACGGAATCGGGAGTGTTGGAAGAGCTCTCTGAGGTCATCGAGCCCGACCATCACCCCACCACTAACCCCCGTCCCCAAGTGCCACATCTGTGTGTTTTTGAACACTTCCAGGGATGGTGACTCCACCACTGCCTTGGGCAGCCTGTGCCAGTGCCTGACCACTCTTTCAGTGAAGAAATTTCCCCTGATATCCCACCTGAGCCTTCCCTGGCACAACTTGAGGCTCTTTCCTCTTGTCCTTGTCTCTGTCTGGGAGCAGAGCCCGACCCCCCCGGCTCCCCCCTTCCTGTCAGGGAGCTGCAGAGAGAGAGAAGGTCCCCCCTGAGCCTCCTTTTCTCCAGGCTGAGCCCCCCCAGCTCCAGACCCTGGTGCTCCCACCCCTTCCCCAGCTCTGTTATCCCTTCACCTGCTCTCCATCCACAGCACCAACACCCACAAGGTGATTTCAGCTCCCTGTGGCCCTTCAGGGTCCAGCCACCTGTGAGCAAAGACGTGGGGAAGGACCAGGGCTGCCCCTGGGGTTCTGAACGCCCCAGTTTTGGGTGAAGGTGCTCCAAGAAATGGGAACCTCGGCTGCCAGGGGAAAAGGAAGCCGTGGATATATTCAAGTGCAGCCACTGGAGCTCTTCAGAGGGATTTGGTGGGATTTGGGGGATTTTCTTTTTTGGAATTTTTTTTTAAACAAAAAGAAGCCTGGAATGGGCTGCCCAGGACAGTGGTGGAGTCATTATCCCTGGAAGTGTTCAAAAAATGTGTGGATGTGACATTTGGAGACATGGCTTAGTGGTGAACATGGTGGTGGTGCTGAACTTGATGATCTTGAGGGTCTTTTCCGGCCTAAACAATTCTGTGATTCTGATTTTTATTCCCCACCACCAATTCTGCCCCTTTCTTGCTGGTGAGGGCCAGGGCTGGAAGGGAGCAGCTGGCTGTGGGGAAAGAGAAACTCAGGGCAGGTTTCCTTCCCAAAGAGAGCCGTGTGTGCCAGGCAGAGCCCAGCCAGCCCCTGTCCCCGCCCCTGCTTTCAGCTGGATTTAAAAAAGAAAAGATTGTCGGTTTCAGAATGAATCAAAGGGGATGAAAATAAGCTGTGACAAAAGTTCTCACATCATTTTGAGTGGCATTTCAGTTTCTTTGAGTGCTATTTCGGTTTCTTTGCGTATTGAATTTCTGGGTTTCTTTTAAAAAAAAATAAAGGTGTGTTTTTGCCCTGGCACAAGGTGATTTTCAGTCAGGGCTTTCTAGGATGGGTTTGGTTAGTTTAGAAAGGAAGGGAAAGCCTTTTCTGTTGCTTAAGGTGCTGTTAAATCACGTAGCTGCAGAGATCTGTCCCAGAGCTGTCCCCTCCCCTTGACAACCCTTCCGAGGGGCTGCTCAGCCACAGTTTCCCCTTGGGCTGGTTCGTGTGGCAGGTTGGGGCAGGGGCTGTGCTGAGGAGCCTGGCACACACCAGGGTTGGCACAGGGGGTCCCAGGGCCACAGCAGCCCCGGGTGGCAGCCCCCAGCCCGTCCCCTGGCGCGGGGTCACCGCACAGCACTGGTGGCTTTTGTGGTTACCCAGAAAAACTTATAACCACGGAAAACGGAACTGGAGCAGAGTCGAAACCTCTGCTGGTGCCGGTGAGCTCTGCAGGAGGGGGCTGGGGGACCCACGGGGTTACGGGAAGGCAGAGGGGCTGGGGGTGTCCCCTGTGCCCTCTGTGCCCTGCACCCTGTGCCCTGCCCCACTGCCCACAGGGCTGTGCCCTTCAAGGACTTCGGCTGAACCTCTCCAGTGCTGCCCACATCTGCTGTGGGATGAATAAAAGTGAAGCTCCTGGACTCGTGGAATGGTTTGGGATGGACAGGACCTTAGAGCCCATCCAGTCCCACCCCTGCCATGGGCAGGGACACCTTCCACTAGCCCAGGTTGCTCCAAGCCCCATCCAGCCTGGCCTTGGACACTTCCAGGGATCCAGGGGCAGCCACAGCTGCTCTGGGAAACCTGTGCCAGGGCCTCCCCACCCTCAACAGGCAACAATTTCTCCCAATATCCCATCTAACCCTGCCCTCTAGCAGTGGGAAGCCATTCCCTGTGCCCTGTCTCTCCAGGCCCTTGAAAGGCCAGTTGAGTGAAACACTGCTCTGTTGCCATGAGAGGCCACTCAGACACTGCTGAAGTTTAAGTTTGAAGTTTAAATTTGAAGTTTAGGCTGTGCAGGGTTAGGGAGAGGCACGGTGAGGATGTGGGGCCTTGGAGTGGCCAAGCAGTTCTCTTCAACTCCTTTCCTGCCCCACAGGTGTATCCATCCAACTCAGGTGATGACTACAGCAGGGATCCAGCTGGATATACTCCCTCAAAACCTCCCAGCACTGTGTATCCTGGAGCCTTTTATATGGCAGGTGAGTTATTCACACCCTGGGGCAGAGCAGGGGCTGCCTGGATTGTCACAGACCACAGGAGGGATTAGATGGAGGAGGCTCAGGACAGGAGTGCATGAGACAAAAACCAGCCCTGAAATCATAGAATTATGGAGTATCCTGAGCTGGAAGGGACCCACAGGGATCATCCAGTCCAACCCCTGGCCCTGCACAGACACCCCAACAATCCCACCCTGTCCCTCAGAGCGTTGTCCAAACCCTCCTGGAGCTCTGGCAGCCTTGGGGCCGTGCCCACTGCCCTGGGGAGCCTGGGCAGTGCCCCAGCACCCTGTGGGGGAAGAACCTTTCCCTGAGATCCATCCCAACCCCCCTGGCACAGCTCCAGCCCTTCCCTGGGTCCTGTCCCTGGTCCCAGAGAGCTGGTCCCGATTTGCTCAGCGGGGGATGCTCAGTGTAGACAGGACAGGATGGGGACAGTCACAGCCCCTCAGCCCGGGCTGACCTCCCCCTGGGGGGCTGGGGGCTGCCTGTGGTGTCTGTGCCCTGCCCAGCTCCACTTTTCCTTGCAGATGGACTCCATAACTCGCCAGACCTGTGGAGTTCCCCGGGTGCCATGAGCCAGTCGAGTTACGGTGCCATGCTGGGCAGCTCCTCCTCCCCACTCCCACAGTCCAGTGGCTTCAACAGTTTACACCAGCACGAACGCATGGTAACGTGTCCCCCGGGGCTGGGGGGCCCTGTCACCTCCGTGTCACCTCCTTCCTTGGCTCTGGGCTCGGGGGGAGCTGGGTCCTGGCCCGATGCCGAAGCCCAGCAGCTTTCCCAGGGCTCCTCTCACCCCTCTCCTCCTCCCTGCCAGAACTACCAGCTGCATTCAGGAGAGGTGAACGGGGGGCTCCCCTCCGTGTCCGGCTTTTCCTCGGCCTCCACGCCCTACGGAGTGTCCAGTCACACGCCCCCGATCAGCGGCACAGACAATATGATGGGTATGTCCAGCCCCTGGGGGACCCCCTTGCCCTGCACAGGCTCACCTGGAAAACCAGAGTCTTGGGCAAACCCGAGGCCTGAGGCATCCAAAACCCCTCGTGTGTCACCTGTGCCTGGAGTCGCTGTGTGAGGCACAGTGAGGGTCCTGCTGCTGGATACCTGGAGCAGGGAGACACCTGTGGGGTTTGCACCTCCTGTGGTGGATCTGGGAGGGGCCCAGGAGCTCTGACATTATCCCTTGGAGGTGCTGTGGCTTACATGAGTCGCGGGAAGGATTTGCACCTGTGTGAAGCTGTTCACTTAAATCCGGAATGGGAACGTTCGTGCTGCATTTAGATACCATGTTAACCCCTGAGTGCTTTAATCTCTGACCCTGCTGAACCTGTTACCAAACCTGTTACTGAAATGAACTTATGCTCTCCAGGAAATGAGGATACTGACCTGGATTTGTAGAAAAACTGTTATTTTTCTACAGGGAATCAAGTTTGGGATTCATAGAATGATCAGATCATTAAGGTTGGAAAAGACATCCAAGAACATCCAGTCCATTGGTTATTGTAGGGGCTTAAAATGCCCCATGGCAATGGGCTGTGCTGCAGCAGAGACATCTAATTGCTGTTGGTGGCACCTCCAACCCAGAGCTTAGAGAGACCTTCATGCAGCCCCCTGAAGGCTGTCAGGGGGATTGTGCCCCTGTCCGGGCTGCCCTGAGCCACACAAACATTTCATTGTCAAGCAAAGCACTAAAAGCAAAAAGTTTCCACCTCAGAGCAGGTGACCCCAGAGAAGGTCTCGTAGGGTGCCAGGTCCTGCTGGGCTCTGGTGCCCTGGCAGTGACATCTGTGTCCCCTCCTGGCAGGTAACAGAGGAACCACAGCCGGGAGCTCCGGAGACGCGCTCGGGAAGGCACTGGCCTCGGTAAGGGCTGGGATCATCCCTGACCTGCTCCTCGTGCTCTTGCTGCACTGGACCCCCCCTCCATACAAAACAGGGGATATGGACACAGTGAGAAGTTTGGGTGAATGCAGCCCAAATCCACGGCAGACTCCGAGGGAGGGTTTTCCCCACTCCATGTGCTGCCATCTCGGTCCTGGTGCCTCTTGGCAGATGAGGAAACTGAGGCACTGCTTGTTGCAGCCCCATGACCAACCCAGGACCCCCCAGCCTCATGCTCTCTGCCAAGACCACCCTGCACAGCCCCTGTAGCAGGACCTGTAGGTCCCAGTAGTCCTGGCCCTGCATGTGCTGGTTCAGACTGGAGGGCACTGGTCTCACTGGGTTATCAGAGTCGCCTTTGTCCCCTTCAGTGACCTTTGCACGGTGGCAGAGGGGGGCTGGCACTGCACCCTGTGACACTTCCATGGGGCTCTCACTTCCTTCCAGAGTGGGACCTGAAGATTGGAGGCTGCACTCAGGGGTGGGGACAGAGAGAGACCCTGGGGTTGATGGTGGGGCTTGGGGGGGCTGGGCTGGGCCTTCACTGGGTGTGGGTTTGGGACAGGGGGTCCCCTCAGGGGTCCCAGCGGGTGGTGGGTGCTGCTGGGAGGGGGCAGTGGCTCAGGGTGGGCGCTGCTCACTACCCACCCTCTCTCTCCCCAGATTTACTCCCCTGATCACTCTAGCAATAACTTCTCCTCAAACCCCTCCACACCGGTCGGCTCCCCGCAGGGGCTTGCAGGTGAGTGACAGATGTTGTTCTCTGGGTCGGGTTTGCTTTTGGGAGCTTCCCAGGTCAGCCCCAAACCCTCACTACAGAGCCCAGGGGTGGCAGCGACCCTGGGACCTGCTCCTGCCATTCCTGATCCTGTCCCTGAGCATCCCACCTCACAGAGGCTGTCCCTGGATTTGTCTCCCATGGGAGAAGCACACTGGGAACTGGGAAGTGGCCAACCAGTTAAAACCCATTTCCAGCACCTGGTGGAAGCCTGTCCCTGCTGCCCTCGGGCAGGACAAGGTCCCGTTGTGCCCAGCAGAGCTGGTGCCCGGGTTCCCAGTGCCCGGGGCTCAGCCCCAAGGTCACAGCGTGTCACTGAGGCCAGGGACAACTGGAAACCTCTTGAGTCTGAAGGCCTGAGCTCAGCTCCCTGCTGAGCCAGTGCAGAGGCTGAGCCCACAGTGCCACGAGGTGCCACAAGGTGCCATGAGGTGCCACGTGGTGGCCCATGCAGTGCCATGGTGCCACGGTGGCCTGTGGAGTGTCGTGTGGTGCTGTGATGACCTGTGTGGTGGCCCACGTGGTGCCATGCAGTGCCACGGGGGCCTGTGTGGTGCTGTGTTGGCCCACGTTGGTTCCGTGCAGTGCCACGGGGGCCTGTGTGATGCCATGTGGCCCACATGGTGCCATGCAGTGCCACGGGGGCCTGTGTGATGCCATGTGGCCCACATGGTGCCGTGCAGTGCCGCAGTGGTCCCCGCGGTGCCGTGGGGTGCTGAGCGTGGCACGGTGGCCCGTGCACGGCGTGGTGGCCCGTGCCGTGCCGTGCCGTGGCCCAGCTTCCAGCCCCATCTAGTGGCAGCCGGTGCCGGTGCCCAGCTCTCCGTTTGTCCCCAGGCACGTCGCATGCCGCGGGCGAAAGCGGAGCGGGTGCCTTATCTCCCAGCTACGAAGGGAGCCTCCACACTTTGGTGAGTGGCTGCTCCTTTGCTCTCCCGTCCCCTGGGCCCTGGTGGGGAAGGATTTTTGGGGGAAGTCCTCTCCCCTGAACAGCCAGGGCCTGGAATCAGGTGGTTGGTCGAGATGGATGGATGTGTCCCTGAGCCTGGAGCCTCGCTGGCACCTGGACAGCCTGGCACCCTCCCACCATCCATGGCCCTGGCCCATCCTGGGGTCTGGCCCAGTGGGATGGATTCCTGGCAGGTTTCTGCCTCCCTTCCCTGAGCAGCTCTGCTGGTGTGACTGGTGTGACCTCTCGTGCCTTTAGGGGATGGCACTGACTGGGGGGTTATTTCTCCCCACCCCTGCCCTGTGGTACTTCAGTGCTGAATTGCCACGAGCCGTCCTGCAGTGCAGAGCTGCAGCAGGCTGCTGGCTCAGTGGGATTACAATCCTGGAATCATGGAATGGTTTGGGTTGGGAGGGACCTTAAAGCCCATACCATTCCCATGGGCAGGGACACCTTCCACCAGACCAGGTTGCTCCAGCCTGACCTGGGACACTTCCAGGGACGGGCAGTTAACACAGACCTCTCTCTGTCCTGTCCTTCCAGCAAAACAAAATGGAAGACAGGTTGGACGAAGCCATCCACGTGCTGAGGAACCACGCCGTGGGCCAGACCGCTGCCATGCCCAGCAACCACGGGGACATGCACGGGCTCCTGGGCTCAGCACCGCCCCACAGTGCCGCCGTGGGCAGCCTGGGCCAGGCCTTCCCTGCCTCGGTCATGGCCCTGGGCAACAGGCACCCGAGCCTGGTACGTGGGGGGGCATCGTGGCAGCTGCTGGGGACACACTGGGGACACGTGCTGCGGGTGGGGTGCCCTGGCATCCAGAGGGATGGGAACAGCTCAGCGTGGCCCAGCGTGGGTCAGGTGTTGGCAGTGCTGGGTGGGTGACGTGCATGGAAGTCACCTGCTGTGTTCCTGCAGCGAGGGTTGAATCCCATCTCCTTCCACCCCCTGCCATGGTCAGGGACACCTTCCATTATCCCAGGTTGCTCCAAGTCTTGTCCAACCTGGCTCTGAACAGTTCCAGGGATGGGGCAGCCACAGCTTCTCCGGGCGCACCGAGTCCACCCTCAGCACAGACGTGGCTCTTGGCACAAGCTCTGTGTGCACTTTGTTCGTGCCCCTTCTCAGGGCAGGCAGAGGTGGTGAAAGCTCTTCTTTACCTGCAACATGGATGGAAATCCCTCAAAACAGCTTCAAGCCATCCCTGGAGTATGCAGGGAGAAGGAGAGGAGGGATCCAGTGGGTTTAAGAGAGCCAGGTATCACCAGGAATTCCCTGCTCTGAATGGTTTGGGCAGGCACCCCTGAGGAGTGCTGGTGTGTGAGGGCTCATTCTGGCTCCAGGGAATGGGACAGATTCCAGGCTCCCTGAGCATGTGGATGCTGAGGTTCCATGCTGGGTCACCAGGATCCCCCTTGTCCAGAGGCTGGTGACCCCAGCAGCACATTTTTGGCGGAACTGGTTGCCTGCTGCAGCAGCACATCTCCAGACTCTGGAACCAGTTGTGAGCCCTTTCCAGGCTTCCCAGACTCTGCTCCTGAGCGAGGAATCAGATGTGATCACACATGTGTCCTGCCAGCTGCAAACCCAGCTGTGGGCAGCAG